TGTCATCCCAGTGCATGGGAGGTGGAGGAAGGTGAACCATGCGTTCAAAGCCAGCCTCAACTACACAGTGAATTTGAGGTTAGCCTGGGCTACAAGAGACCCTGCCTGAGTGTTCCTCTCTCGGAGCCCCTCCCACTCTTGAGAGTTCTTTTTCACTTTTCCTTAATAACCCTCCAGACCATCATACCAACAGCGATGAGGAGAGGAAGATGGGCTGAGGATGAAAATGAATGTCTAGAAAAAAACGGGATTGATGGTCAAAATAGCATCTGAAGGTGAGATACATTCCTACTAAGTAAGATGGAACTTCCAGAGAGGCTCTGGAGAGAAGGGCAGTTAGGGTGTTTGACTCAAGGATGAGGTGGAAAGTTTTCACGACTATAGCAACCTGGTGACTAACATTAATGATGTTCTGTGTTTTAATTGCTAAAAGGAAAACAAAGCTGCCTGAAATTGTCTGGTAGTCCTGGTTCCCTTTCAGTAAATACTAACCAAATGTAACAAATGATTCACCTCAAAATCCTACCAGGTTTCTCATTCTGTAGGTCAGGTCTCAGACTACTTTCTGTACTTAAAATACCCACCTCAGGGCTGGAGAGAAGGCCAGGCCAGTAAAATGCTTGCTGTATAGCTTTAAGGATCTGAGTTTAATACTCAGCTCTTGTAGGAAAAAGTGGAGCGTGGTGGTACATGTCTGTAATCCTAGCACCAGAGACAAGAGGACTGTGGGCTTTGCTGGCCAGTCAATTCAGTTGAATCGGTGAGTGCCAGGTTTTATGAAAGACCCTGCGTCAAAAAATGAGGTAGAGGGGCCAGTGAAATTGCTTAGCAAGTAAAGGTGCTTGCCCCAGAGCCTGGAGACTGGAGGTCAGTTCTCAGGGTCCACACAGTGGAGGGAGAGAACTGACTCCCACAAGATATCCTCTGAACTCCACATGTCTGTCATGGTGAACACACACACACACACACACACACACACACACACACACACACACAGAATCCATCTTTTGGTTATTTTCTCAAGTAAACCCCACCCCCTCCAACCTTTCTCTAGCTTAGGAATCCCTGAACACTTTGGTTTCATGATTTCTTTATATACTTGAAATCATCGAGGACCCCAGTGAGTTTTGGCTTGTGTGAGTTTATGCTGAATTAGATGTTATTGTCTAAATTAAAACTAAGAAAATTTAAAAAGCACTAGTTCACTTATAAAGAATAACAAACCCATAACAGGTTAACATAAATCATGTTTTTTTAAATGAGATATAGCTGAACTTTCCAAAAGAAAACAAAGGATGATGTGTAAGAGCACATTGTTCTTTTATAAATTTGCAAGTTTTGTTAATATCAAGCGTGACAGGACTCGGCTGCATTCTCCTTTCTACATGCAGTCTGCTGTGAGGATGTGTCATGTGACTGCTGAGGAACTCCACTGTGCATGTGTAAGAGACCAACATGACATGAGAATGAAGGAGCTTTGATCTTGTGGGTTCCCTGAAAGAGTCTCGAAGACCCCTGTGTACCTCCCTAGGTGACCTTACGGGTCCCCTGAAAGAGTCTTGGATACCCTCATGTCCCATGGACCTCCTAGGCTTCATTTAAGACTTTCTATGTTGGCCTGGTCTAAGGGTTTTGATGGTGATGGTGACGCTTTTCTGATTCAGGTGACATTGGTCACTTCCTTCTGTGTTCACACTGTACTGTTCCAGGCTGTTGGTAATGTTGTGAGCCTGTGAGCTCCTTGCAGTCCCAGGATCTCATACAGCATTTGTGTCCATAGCATGCAGAAGATGTAGTTGTTATTATCATCATACTTTTTTTTTTTTTTTGGTTTTTCGAGACAGGGTTTCTCTGTGTAGTTTTGGTGCCTGTCCTGGATCTCGTTCTGTAGATCAGGCTGGCCTCGATCTCACAGAGATCCGCCTGGCTCAGATTAAAGGTGTGCACCACCACAGCCTAGCCTTATCATCATCATTTCTTAAGTAGGGTTTCACTGTGCTGCCAGCATGGCCGTGAGTCCATGAGTCCAGTGATCTTGCCTCAGCGTCCTGAGTGTCTGGTACCACAGGTATATGTATGTGTGCACGTTGTTAACATAAACCTATCACCATCATCATCATCATCTATGTTTTTTTGTCTGCGTGTTTGAGTGTGCACTTTGTGCTTAGTGTCCTTTGAGGCCAGAAGGTGATGCATCTCCCAGAACTGGGTTGTAGACAGTTATGAACCACCATGTGAATCCTGGGAACTGAACCCAGGTCCTCTGCAAGAGCAAAAAGTGCTCTTAACTGCTCAGCCATGTCTGCAACCCCAGGCTCACCTGCCTCTGGCTCCCTAGTGTTGGGATTGTAAGCATGAGCTTCCATGCCAAGTTTTCATTAAGATTTTAACTTTAATTATAAAAGCAATGTAACTAATTGTGGCTATATTTTAGAAAATAGAGACAGTAAAGTAATACTCTGAACCTCTTAAATACCATTTCTTGAATGTATTGCATCAGTGTTTTATGAAATGTAGCATGTGTGCTCACTCGGTCTGTGTCGCTCTTTTGAGATAGACAAGGTGATCTTGACTTGTCTCTGACCCTCCTGCCTCCACCTCATGAGTGTTGGAGTTCTTTGCCTGTACCACCGTGCTTAGTTTATTTGGTGCTGGGGAAGGAGTTTAGTTTCATTCATGCTAGGCAAAGCACTCTCCCAACTGAGCCACATCCTTAGCCTTCAAATGCGGTATTATCTATCATTCCATTATATTTGTAAATGAACACCAGAATTTTGAGTATCTCCCCTACCTCCAGCAATGAGTGACTTTGTCCATTTTGACATGTGACTAGTGCAGCGTTCCACTGTGTGGCTAAGCACAATTCACCTGTTAAACAGCCAACATTAGCACTTTGAGATGTGCCCACTTTTTTTTTTTTTTTTAAAGAACTTATTTTTAACAGCCGGGCGGTGGTGGCGCACGCCTTTAATCCCAGCACTCGGGAGGCAGAGCCAGGAGGATCTCTGTGAGTTCGAGGCCAGCCTGGACTACCAAGTGAGTCCCAGGAAAGGCGCAAAGCTACACAGAGAAACCCTGTCTCGAAAAACCAAAAAAAAAAAAAAAAAAAAAAAAAATAACAAAAACAACTTATTTTTAACTGTGTGTATATATGAGGACTGTGCACAAGAATGCAGGTGGTCGTGGAGCTGGAGTCACTGGCAGTTGTGATCTGCCCAGTGTGGGTGCTGGGAACGGGTTTGGTGTCCTCCGGAAGAGCAGTATATGCTTCTAACTGCTGAGCCGTCTCCCCAGCCGCCATCGCTCACTTTTTTGTTCTAACAAATACAGTGATCAGGGAAGAGCATCTTCGTTCTCCCAGCACTTCCCCACTCGAGGTTATTTCCTTAGATCAGATTCTCAGAAACAAGATTCCCAGGTCAAAAGACGTAGATTTTTTTTTATGGCTTTTAATACATACCGTGAAATTGCTTTTTGAAAGGGTTATACTAATTTACACCGCCACCAGCGTTTCCAGATGCAACACAGGTGCTATTAAGAATGCTAATCGATAAAATACTGTACCCTAGTTGTTAACACTTCGCCTTTTTTTTTTGAGGCTCATAAAAATTAAAGTTTGTTGAAGAATGAGTATACAATACAAACCATTCTTTTGGGACATCTTTATTTTTGGAACAACCTTAAGCAATTCTCCGCGGTGAACACCAGAGAAAGAACACATGTTGTGAGGATTGGCACAGACTGGCTTTGACGATCAATCCTAACGCCAAAACACTCGATCGACTTTTCAGTGCTTCTGCTAGCAGCAAACGGAGGGAAAATAGTGTTGAGGAATCAAGCCGTGCAAGTTTACAGAGAAATCTGGAGCTCAGCTGCTTTTCATTAAACTGTGTTCCCTTGGGTGCACGTGCAGAATTCCCGCACTATTTTCCCTCCCTCTTCCCCACCCTTTTTTTTCTGTCCATGTGCCGAATTCCTGCACTCTGCCCTTTTCCTCCTTTCTTCCATCCTTTGCTTTCTTTTCTGGCCACGTGCAGAACCCTTGAATTTCTGTGGAGAAGGCGCAGCACTTTGCAGCTCTTCTGTTCGGGGCTTGTGAATCCACCCGGTGTGGCCCTACTTCCAGGAGAGCTGCGCAGAGCTGCGGCCGGAATCCGGCTGAAGTGCCGGGAGCCCGGGAGGAACTGGCTAGGCTAGCCGAGGTCGAGCGTTCCGAGCCCCGGATCCACGGCTGCAGCTTGGGACAGGCACCTATGACTCATCGGCTCCGCCGGTCACATGGACAACGTGACCAAAATAAAGTTTCAGTATTTTAAGCCGCTAGAAAAGGGGACAGAGAAACGCAAGGCGGGCGGGAGCGTAAGGCTGCCGCGGGGACGCAGAGGCGGCCGAGGGGGCGGGGATCGGAGGCCAGGAAGGGGCGGGGCTTGTCCGAGGGGCGGGACCTGCCGGGAGGCGCGCCCCTCCCCCGCGGCGGGCAGCGACGCCCGGACTCCCGACCGAAGGGTTCGGGGACGCCGCGAGCACGCCTCGGCGCCTCGCGTCCTGCACCCCAGAGCCGCCCCCCGCCAGCGCCGTAGGCTGCGGGATCCCGGAGTTCCGGCGTGTCCTCCACAGACACCGGGACCCCCACGCGCCGGCAGCGGCTTCCCCGGGAACGTCCTTCAGCTCCGGGAGCACGCGGGAAAAGCCCCAGCACGCCAATGAGCGAGCGCCTTCCTCATGACGGTCACGCTGGGGGGCGGGGCTTCCCACAGCCGTTCCCGAGTTCCGGGAACCCCCTTTGATTGGTCTGAACGGCTTGGGAAACACTGTTGTGACGCCCAATCAAAACACTACGTCTCGGCCTCGAGGAAATATTCCGTGTCAGGCTCGTCCTGATTGGGCTGTCCCTGCGTCCTCTGGCCACTAGGAAGCTTTGTTTGGTTCTGGAGGGCGGGTTTTCCTGGGAGTGGGTGGGGAGGGGGCGTTGATTCCAGGCCAATCACTTTAGTCGGTGCGGTGGTGATCAGCCAATGGGCTGGGTGGATAGGACGCTCCTCCCGGAGAGTAGTGAGACCCCTGGTGCGTCCCGATTGGCTGCAGGAGCAGTGACTGACAGACGCACTATCCAATGGGCGCTGTGCGTGGGCCGCGGGGCGGGGCCAGGGCGGGTGCGCGGCGGCGGCGGGGTGGCTGGGCCGGCGGCGGCGGCGGTACGAGGCGCGCGCTCGGGGTCCCGGTCGCGAGGAGGAGGAGGATGTGGCGCGCGGAGGGGAAATGGCTGCCGAAAACAAGCCGGAAGGTGAGAGCCGGAGCGCGAGGGCCCGGGGCTGTCAGGGTGGCGGCGGCGCGGCGGGCCCGGGGCCGCGCCGGACATCCCGGGCATCGGCGGCGCGGGGCGCGAGCGCGGGGGCGCGGCGGGCGCGGGGAGGGCGCCGGCAGGGTGGGGGGGGCGGAGCGCGGCCGAGTCCTGAGGTGACTCGCGGGCCGGCCGAGCGCGTTGCCCCGCACCCAGCCCCGGGGGCGGCAGGCCGGGGCGGGGGGCGCGCGGGGCGGGGGCCGGGCCCAGTGAGGAGGAGGAGGAGCCGTGGCGCCTCCGATAACCGGCCCGGGGCATTCCAGCCGCGCCGGCCACGGCGTGAGGGGGCCGCGGGGAGGAAAGTTTCCCGGCCCGCGGGGTCTCGCGGTCACCGGTGCCGGCGGCCGTGGCGGCGTCAGGGCCGGACGTTCCCCTCCACAGCCCCCCTCGGGCCGCGAGGCGCCTCCTAGCGCCGGCGTGGGGGTGTCCCCGCGCGGGTCCCCGCCAGGGGGCCCCCCTCGTGCCGAGCGCCCCTCGGCCGAGGCCCCGGGCGACCCCTCCCCCTGCAGGGCCGGGGGCCTCGTGCGGCCTCCCCGCCCCTCACAGCGAGCGTGCTCTTCCACTCTTGCCCTTGCACCCTCACTGCCGAGAGGGTGGGGTCTCCACACTGCCTTGCCCTTTACCTTCCATGACCCCGATCCTCGCCGAGCACGGAGGGTTCCGTGTGAGCCTGTCCCCCTTTTCCGGGGACTCTCGTGGGGCTGCGGAGCCTCGGCACGCTGGGTTTACCCTTTTTCGCCAGGACAAGGGGACCCGGGCTACCCATGTTCTTCTTCCTTCTTTGCTCGCTCAGTGGCTCGTGGGGCCCTGTGCAGCCCTGAAGTCATTTCTAAATAGGAAGGCAGACACTTTTTCCAGATCTACACTCTCCGCACAGTTTCCTAGGTTAGGGTGAGCTCATTTCCTGAATACCCTTCGAGTTGCCCTCTTTCTGGTGGGGAAAACCGGACGCTCCAATGCTCCTCTCCTCAGCTCTCTGCCTCTCTCCTTGGAGTTCCCTGTCTGGGCCAGGGTGGGCGCCCCAGTAAGATATAGGGCAGGCAGGCTTCCGATGTGTCTACCACTTGAGTGAAAAGGGACCTCAGGAATTACTCCTTTCTTGAAGGAAAACAAGGATCTATTGCTTCCCGTTCACTCTTGGATCTTAGGGGGCACCCTTCACCAATTAACACTACCCCACTGGGAAAAGGGTCATGTGCCCTTGAATTTTGTGTTCTGATGCTTGTCTTCTGAGCGATAAAAACCATACTTTATGCGTCCCACTCTCAAGAAGTCTTTGAATCTTTCTTGGAAATAAACTTCCCAATCCCTTTTTTTTTTGGAGAGAGAGAACTCATATCCTCCTTATGGCTTCTGTTTCCCAGTCAGCCATATTTAGTGAGCCTGTTACCTTGACTTTTTCTAATTTTCTCAAATTGTATTCATGTTGGCTGGGTAAGGAGAAGCCATATGCCTTTCTATCCAGAATAGGGAGCGTAGACACCCTTGTCGCCCACATGCCATTTGAGAAGAGGTAGCTTGTGTGCTCCTTGTTGTACCAGAACCTTCCTTTGCCCTGGTATGTCTCTAGTGGGATCAAAACATTTCTTTGGATCTTGTATCTTTTAGGCAAAGGGGAAATTTATCTATTTATTTGCTGTTCTGGTTCTCTTTGGCATCACAGAAATTGTGATGCTCCACACAATTGTTGACACACACAAACCACTTTGTGCATATGTGCAATAACATTCGGTACATGCACAGAGGAAGTTAGGAGGGTCAGATGACAGCTCTATGTTCAGAGTGTGTGGGAACCGTTAACATGCAAGAATGGGTATATATTCATATTCATATACGTTATTGGTGACTTCAGACTTAGAAGAAACAAAAGTATCATTGATAAATGCTGTTTCTCATCACTTCTTCATTTGTCATTTGTATTGTACTGAATAAGCAGAATGCCACCCAGAATGTTCACCACATCTCCCCTGTGTGGAGTGCTTGCTGATGAGTGCCCAGACTTTTCCATTTGGAATCTAGGGACAGTATTCTCGGCTCAATTCTGTGAGGAGTAAAGGTTCTTATCTTGATTTTGATTTTTTTTTTTTTAAACTGCAATGTAGGAGAAAGATTTCCTGTGTTTTGGGAAAATGATAGGAATGGAGAAGAAGCTGCCTCTTCCTGATAGAACTGGGAACTGATGTCCTCAAGTATGTCCCTGTTGTATTTCAGCCAATGAACTGAGAGATGCTGTGAAATTAGGAAAAGGTACCTTGGAAAGTGCTTGCTTCTTCCTGGGAAGGTGGCAGGGTTTTTCCAGGTTCTTCTCTGGGGCTGGTGAGTGTGAGAGCCCAGCAGCTCTGGCTCTGCTCAGGTGCCTCACTGCCCTGTCTCTTACATTTTCACTCAGCAGTGAAATCTTACTTTTTAGCAGGCTTAGTGTGGAGCCTCACCCTCCTTCCAGCTTTGTGTGCACTCTTGAAGCACTTTGCCTAGCAAGGGAGCCCTCTACCTTGATTTCCCAAGTAAGGAGATGCCTCAGTTGGCTCTAGTTTTGCTTTTTAGCATGGTACCCAGTGCCAGAAAGGAAAGCTTTTGGTCTCATTTTCCTGTGTGTGTCTTCCATTTTTAGGCTGTTTTCATCCTGTGCTTCTTGTTAGCTTAGGGGTCTTGTTTGTTTCTAGGGGTGTTAGTGAGCCTTGGAGAAATGAAGAGTTGAATACCTGCTGTGTATGTTGGCGTAGACCCAGGACAGTCATCCGTTTCTGGTGCTGGCTCTTCTGTGCCCTCCTCCAGGCCACTAACTACCTTTGGGAGTTGTCCCTGTCCAGCAGAGTGCCCCGCACGTGGACTGTGAAGGTGAGGTAATGAAGGGCCACAGAGGAGAACTGCTTGCCGAAAGTTAGGCTTGAGTTGAATGAGCTTGTGCTTCCTGTGTGGCTGGGCTCTGGATGGTTAGGAAGCAGCTCTGTCCTCCTGCAGTGAGTCGGGTTACCCTGTTTTCTTAATCACTTCGCTTTTTTTCTTTGCATCTTTCTGTCCAAACATAATTTCCCCTTCTACCTCTCATTCACCAGCATTTTGGGAAAAGCCAGGTGAACTTTTTCTCTTGTCTCCTTGAAGATCTGACTTACCCTATTTCTGGGAAATGTTGGGATTCTCTATCTCACCCTTCACTGGATTCTGCATGTTGACATGTGCACAATAACCTCTCCTCAAGGTCAGATTGGGTCAGCTTTCCCTTTCTGAAAGACTAGCATCACTCTTCGCTCTTAGAGATGAGTTTATGTCATACTTAGCCACATTTTCATCATTTTTACTTTATCAAAAATTTTAATGTTTTGTCTTTTTGAGACAGGTCATGTTTTGTAGCTCAGGTTAACCTAGAGTTTGCTGTGTAGAACAGTTTGGCCTTGATCTTGGGGATCAGTCCTCGTGCCTCAGCCTTCTGAATGCTGAACTCACAAGCAGGGGGTGCCATACCCAGTTCAGTCACATATTTTGTTTGCTTTAGTTTTCAGGCCCTGCCGGATTTAGTCCCCCCCTCCCCCCCTCACTGGCCCATTCTCGAATGAGGAAGGAACAGTTTGCCTGTGTTTACTAGGTGTTAGTCGGTGTGCCAGTGGGATTTGAATTCTTTCTGATCTTGAGGTAGCCGCTCTTGAGCCCATTCCCCATTCCCTACACCCTGTTCATTACTTGTTCCATTCCTTATGTCCTGTCTGTGGCAGCTTGGAGAAACTCCCTTTGCACCTTCTGGGAACAGTGATAGAAGAGGGTTCTCAAGCTCTGGCCACCTGCAGTTGTGCCCATTGAGTGTTTGGTGGTATCTTAGTGTCGCTCTTCTGAAGTCATTGTCGTGGCTGCTCCCTTACTCAGCTATTCACTCTGGAGCCCTTTCCGGGATGTCTGTTGAATTCAAGGATCTGCAGGGTTCAGTGACTTTGCCTGAGACCATAGTGGATCTTGTTACCCTATTGTGTAAATGATATGTCAATCTATCTGTATTTGACTTTAATAGAATCTTATAAACTTTTTTTCTGAATTTAAATTTTTGTGTATTGTAGTCTTGCAAAAAATACTTGACTAGTGTGCGCTATCCTGTGGAGCTTTTCCCTTCCTTCCTGGAAGAGTGGGGGTGGTGAACAGGGTGGATGGTGTACTGGGAGAGGCATTTAGCAGCTTTCCTCCAGATTGTGAAGTGTGTGTTTGTGTGCATGCACATATAAGAAAATACAGTCATTCTTAATGTGACTGTCCAGGTGTAACTTTTAGGTAATTTAGATATGTGATTGGAATGCTTAGTATACATTAGAACAGCAGCATTGCACACAAAGTATCATATGCATGGAACATAGCATTTATACATAACAGATCATTTTTACATAAAGAACTTTTAGAAAAAAAATCTTTCTTCTGATGATCTTGGTTCATGCTATCATGTATTAAGCACTGAATGAGCCATCACTCTGCTTTGCTGTTCAGTTATCTAAATCTAGTGCCTAAGTGTGGCCACACTCCAAGGCCAGAGCATGATACAGTTACTAGCTTATGTGACTTTCAATTCTTTATGCTGTTTAATAGTACTGTTATTTGTATCTTTCTGTTTTTTTGGTAAAGCCTGATTCTTTTTGGGTACAGGTGAGGTATTCATTACGATGTTGACATTGATCAACGTTAATCGGAAGTGTGCTCATTCTTTTTCTCTCTGAAGTCAGGTTTTCTCTCCTCAGCGGCTCTAGAAGCCAGTTCTGTAGCTTGCACTCCTGTGGCAACCCTTACTGTCTGTGGATGGCTGTGCCCTTTGTCCACTGATGCTTTTGTGGTGACAGGTGATAATGTGGCTCTTTTGCATTTCCATTGCCTGGGTCATCTTCAGTATTGTGTATCTTACGGTATCATCATACTTTGTTTATTGATCTGGGCAGCTCAAGTTCTACCTCCTTTTCTCCTTCTCTACCTGTAGGATAGGTAGGTGGCATGGGATCTAAGTCCCAACAAGGGGATGAGTAAACACTGTCCTTCAGATTTCTAAGCCTCCCCATGGAGGATTTTGGGAATTTGTTTTTGCTGAATTTATCTGGCTTCTTTCTGTCTCTGGTTAGATTGCAGTATACACTTTTTTGGGTACAGTTAATAACTATACTAGTCATTGGGAGCTTTTGTTGCAGAAAGTGTGGGACCCTCTCTTAGAACTCCTCTGCCTCACTTTGTGCTGTGTTGCAGTCTGATGTATGGGGTGAGGATGGAGGTGTTCTAGTTCTAATTCTTTGTCCACCTTACTTTAGGAAGCGGCACCGCCTGCCCACCTGTTTGCCTTCCCTCTGCTCCCCATTCTCTCCCTCTCTTCTGCTCAGGTTTAGGGTCAAGGCTGTTCAGATACAGTCATGTCCTTTTGTTTATGCCATTGTGGGTGTAGTACTCAGTTGTCTTGTGGTTGTGAGCACTGTCAATTAGAAGGTGGAGATGGTCTGCCACCCTCTAGTATTTGTTGTGGATGAGAAGTGTGTAGACATTGAGCAAGTCTGATACATCCTAGTGTTCTCTATAGTAAATGTTCCCCATCAACATGTTGAGACATTGTTGCCAGGTTCTCTTTCTGTTTTGAGCATCATTGCTTGCGTGGGTCTCCTGTAAAGACTGGTAATGTTTATTGAGCATTTTTAAAACCTCATTCTTGACTTAAAAATACTGTGCACCCCAGTGTGGAGAGGCCCAGCCAGTCATATTAATCCCCACTTTACTCTCTCTCTCTCTCTTAAGAGGAATGGTCTTTATTTTTCAAATAATTGACAGCACAAGATGGAAAGACCGAGGTACCCTTTGTTGTAACGGCTCTTGTGTATTCATCCCAGTGTTCTGCTCATTCTTGATATAATTGCATGTTTTCTTGTACATGAGTCCTTTGTTCATTTGGAAAAGTTTAGTCGCTTTTTTCCCCCCCTTTAGATTTAGATGGCCCCTTTCTGAAGTTGTTAGCACAGGGTGTCTTAGGAGGAGGTGTGCTGGCCTGGACTGTCTTCTTCCCCCTGCTTTCTGCAGGGCTTTGCATGAACTGTGTCATGCCTTGAAAGAAATGCCAAGTATGATAGTGCTTGGAAAAAAAGTAAGTGACATTACCTTGTACTTCCTCATACCAACCAGAACACTTCTCTTTACTCCCCTCTCCCCAAAACAACAGTAACAGTAACAAGATAATCCCAAATAAAGCAGACCATCCTGAAGATTAGTTCTGATTGCTCCTGCTGTGTTTAGTCACTGGTTTTGGGCTGGGACACAATTGATACCTTTGGGTATGTGTTCTAAATGGTGTTTGCATCCTTTGTAACAGAGTTTGCAGTATTTCCATTTTTCCTTATCAGTTACCATAAGGTAACACCTACCAAGCACCTTATTTTTTCCTCTTTATTCCTACTTAGTGTTTCGAATGAATACTGGCAACAGTTAATTACTCTGTCCTCTCATGAGTTCTGCCTATGTTTGAGAATGGGGTGGAGACTTCTGTACAGTGTGGACCATCATGACTCTGTCCATGTCACTTCACACTGTTGAAAAACCTAGCATCTGTTAGAATGGATAAACCACGTATGTCAGCCTGTTCAATCTTCATCAGTGAGATTTGTTTATGTATGATGTCAGAGCTGTGTGCAGATGCTTCCAGATGCACTCTTCATCACCGATCTTTGGCCTTCCATGTCTGTCTGTCTGCGTCTCTCTGTCTCTCTCTCTGTGTCTCTGTCTCTGTCTCTGTCTCTCTCTCTCTCTCTCTCTCTCTCTCTCTCTCTCTCTCTCTCTCTCTCTCTCTCGGCAGAGTCCCATGTAGCCCAGGCTGGCCTTGAATACACTGTGTAGTTGAAGATGACCTTGAGCTTCTGATCTGCCAACCAGGTTCTGGGATTGCAGACATGTGTGTCCATGGTTGGTTTGGAGATGCTCTTTCAACTGAAAAAACAACCCACACGTCTTGTTTCTACTTTTAAAAAATGCACTGTAGTTTTCTTTTATCAGGATTAGTTGAGACTGCCAAGAATTATTTCTGAAGACATGTGAGTTAAGTAAGGAATTTCTGTCTTTGTAAATTTAGACTTGGTTTTAGTCCCTTTCTCAAGAGTCTGTTACCCCCTTGGTTTTTGAGGTAGATATCAAACCCTTTGGAAATGATAAGAAATTGGTGTGAAGTTTGAAATCATAGGAAGCACAAAGCTACGAGAGTAATGTAATTAGCAATTAATGATTGAGACAACCTTAAGGTAGTAATTGGAAATGTAACTGTGTAACAACAGAGTGCCTGACTGTTTCCACCACAAAGTTGTTGATGGCCTTGGTGATCTTAAAATGTGTTTCCCCCTTCTTTTTAGAAAGTACTTGAGATAAAATAGCTGTTTTTAGTTGAAGAAAATCTAAAGTTTGGTGGAAGTTCAGCAGAATGGAACATTTCAAAACTAGATTCAAGATAAGAATTTTTATTTTGAATCCACAAGGGGGTAGTGGTGTTCTATCAAAGGTGCTTATGGAAGTTGAGGTGATCGCCAGCATTCCAGATCTGTAGATAAAACTGGCATGTTTGCATTTTAACTTAATAAGATCTCCTTTTCAAAATGTTTATTGGCAGAATTGTTTATTGCTTAAATTAAAAAAAATCCATTTTGGTGAATAGCTATTTTAAGCTGTGCAGATGGTTAGTGAGACCGTCCTTGTAAGTCCTGTGCTTTGTAGAGGTCACAAAGGCTCTGAGGCTGCTCCTGTTTTCTAAGGATGGAATAATCTTAACATTAGGGCTCTAGAATTGGTGGCTTAAGTGTCTTGAATAGAAGGATTTTAGAGAATTGTATCTAAACTTTACAGAAGTTTTTATTTCC